CTTCTTTAAATAAAATAAAATAATAAAAAAAAAAAAGGACGGGTTTCCCAACCCCAGAGAGGACTTTTTTGCTCCCTCTGCCTCTGCGAAGGGGGACTTACCTTCTTCCTTCCCGCTGGGACACGTGCCAGTGCCGCAGGGAGGGGGGAAGGATGCCACCCCGCTCGCCCCGAGGGTCCCCGGGCAGACGCTGCGGTGATGGACCCAACGGGCGCTGGAGCCGTGCGGGCACTCGATAGGTTCAGCACTTGTGTACAATCACCTATTTTTTTTATTTTTTTTTTTCTTGTGGATTAGGCCTCCAGCGCAGGGAACACCACCAAATACTGCTAGTTTACCTATATATATATATATATATAATTTTTTTTTTTTTTTTTTTACTAAATCAAGTTGCTGAACTGCCCAGCACTGCCCGTGCAAGAGTTTCTCCTCTCCGTTAATTTACATTGTGCCCCGCGCCCACTGCTTCCCCCTCTTTACGTTACATGTGCTGTCATTGCCTATTATTTATGCTACCACGGAATAGTGACAAAATAAAATGTTTTCAAGATACCAAAACCTTGCCCCTTCCTTTCTTTCTTTGCACTGGCCCCCACCTGAGAGAGGGTGGTGGGACCCAAAAGGGCTTTTTTGGGTGTGCACAAAGGTGTCCTCTGCTTTTCCCCTGGGGCTGGGGGATCCCTGGGGGGTCAAGCGATGCTGGCCGGAGGCTGGGTTGGGCTCCCCAGCACGGGCAACGGGTGCCCAGTTTGGGCGAGCGGCGTAGGGTGGGGAGATGCTCACTGGAGGCACTTCGCTGGGTGGGGGTAACAGCTGAAGATGCATCATAGAATGGTTTGGGTGGGAAAGGACCTTTAAAGGCCGTCTAGTTCAACCTCACCACAACGAGCAGGGACATCTTCTGCTAGACCAGGTTGCTCCAAGCCCCGTCCAACCTGACCTTGAACACCTCCAGGGATGGGGCGTCTCCCACCTCTGAGGGCAACCAGGGCGTTTTTCTTACAGAATCTCCCAGATTGGGAAAGACCCGTAAGATCATCCAGTCCAACCATCACCCTAACCCTGCCAAGCCCACCACTAACCCATGTCCCTCAGCACTGTATCTACATGACCCTTAAATCCCTCCAGGGATGGGGACTCCACCGCTGCCCTGGGTAACGCGTTCCAGTGCCTGATGACCCTTTCAGTAAAGAAATTCTTCTGAATATCCAACTAAACTTCCCCTGGGGCAACTTGAGGCCATTTCCTCTTGCTCTATCCCCTGCTACTTGACAGAACAGGTCGACCCCCACCTCTCTGCAACCTCCTTTCAGATAGTTGTAGGGAGCAATAAGGTCTCCCCTCAGCCTCCTCTTCTCCAGGCTGAACACCCCCAGGTCCCTCAGCCGCTCCTCATCAGACGTGTCCTCCAGACCCCTCACCAGTTTCATTCTCCACCCTCATGGTAAAAAATTTCTTCCTTATATCTAGCCTGAATCTCCCCTCTCCCAGTTTGAAACCATTCCCCCTTGTCCTATAGCTAAAAAGCGTGTCCCCATCTTTCTTATAAACCCTTTATGCTGAGACCGGCCCCAAATTTGCAGGTAAAATGCGGCGGTTCTTCACGAGCGAGGGGACAGCGCGAGGCATGCTGAGCGAGAAATAGAGCTTGAAGCTCTCTTTCCTTCGTTTTCTGGTGTTGAGGAACGTGTCATCATTTGGTGTCAGGACTGGAGTTCCCTGG